TGTGACCAGATCTTCCAGAACCACCAGGAACAGGTAAAAGCTGCCAGGTACAGAACTAAAGGGTAGAAACAAGTAAAATGGTGTGTGAGGAGAGGTAGGTATTTGATATGTCTTTAATGAATAAAGATCCATTTTTTCAAAAGGTCCTCACCCCGAGGATAGGTTTGTTGATTTTAGAGGGAGAGGAAGGGAGAGAGAGAGAAACATCGAGTGGTTGCCTCCTGTATATGCCTCAGCCTGGTATGGAACTCTCAGCCTAGGTAGGTCCCCTGATCAGGGATCGAACTCACAATAGAACAACGTTCCAACCAACTGAGCCACCTGGCCGGGCCTAAAGGTCCATGTTTTGAATAAGGCAATTGGTGTTACCTGGTCATACTTCCTGGCATTCTGTTATGGGTCTTGAGTAGCATAAAAGGCTAGGCTGGGGCATATTTCCATATTCTGCTTCTTTCATTGATTCCTACCAGAGGGAACATTATAAACTTGACTGGCATCGGTTTAACCTAAAGCAGCGTCTCAAGAACAAGCCTCTTCTGTCTGCCCTGGACTTTGAAAAGCAGAGTTCTGCAGGTGACAGCTGGCGGGAGCCCTCTGTGGGAGTAGGACATGGGGGTGGAAGACCCTTGTTTAGGAACTTGTGGAAAGTTGAAAGTTAGAGTACCAAACTTGGATGTCTTATGTCTCAGGAGATCTTTCCAGCATCTCAGGATCAGAAGACTCAGACTCAGCCAGTGAGGAGGACTTGCAGATACTACATGAGGAAAAGCCTGAGTTTGAGAAATCTAACCGATCCCGAGGCTTCCGCTCCCATCGGGTTCTTTTCCAAAATGCCCAGGGCCAGTTTCTTTACGCCTATCGCTGTGTCCTAGGCCCTCACCAGGCAAGTGACAGCATAGGTTGTATGGTTAATTCCAGCCTTTGGTACACTTAGCCTAGATTAGCTCAGTCCATTTCTCACTTCCCCTCCTTCCTGTTGAGTGTGAGTGTTGTGCTTGACATCACAGTCTTGGATTGAGTGGCCTGAATCTTAGAAGAGTTAAGTGTAATGGAATCAAGTTTGGAAACAGACCAAGTGGGTTTAGATTATGGTTCCACCACTTGATCTTGACTATATCTATGAGCCTCCTTATTTGTAAAGTGGAGACAAGCTGCAGGGTGGTTGTATTAAACGAGATGTTGCTTTTGAAACAGCACTGGCACTTGGTTTTTTACTGCCAATTAATGTAACAGATGTTTGTCCTGCTCCCCTGTTGTCAGGTGCCCCCGGAAGAGCCAGAACTGCTGCTACAGAACCTGCAGAGTGGAGGTCCTAGACACTGCGTGGTACTCATGGCTGCGGCTGGGCACTTTGCCGGTGCCATTTACCAAGGGTGAGAGGGTGCTGGGTGAGGTTATGGACGGAGTGGATGCTGTTCAGCTAGGAGTACCAGGTTTCCAATACCGAGCCGTGTTGTCTGCAGAAGAGAAGTGGTGGCACACAAGACCTTTCACCGCTACACAGTTCGGGCCAAACGCGGCACAGCGCAAGGACTTCGTGACGCCCGGGGTGGGGCTTGTCGCTCTGCTGGAGCCAACCTGAGGCGCTACAATGAAGCCACACTATATAAGGTAAGTTAGACATCTAAGATCTGGTGGTCCACTAATGCACGTTTTCAATTCATTAAACGTTACAATAAAAAGGTTGAACCTTGTTAACTCCCAGTCTTTGTTATTTCTGGGTAGACAAAAGTAGAATAGGATGGATCCCCAGGAATCTTGGTCCTTTCCTCCTTCTTTCTGTGTTAATTTCTACCTTTTACTTCCTGTACATGGGGCCATTTTTTGGTTGGAGATTTAAAAATAGTCAGTGAAAAAAAATACAAGACTGAGTTACTCTGTTCTCTAGGATGTTCGTGACCTGCTGGCAGAGCCAGGCTGGGCTAAGGCGCTGGGGGAGGCTGGAACAATATTGCTGCGTGCCCCCCGCTCCGGCCGGTCCTTGTTCTTCGGAGGCCAAGGGGCACCCCTGCAACGGGGGGATCCCCGGCTTTGGGATATCCCCCTCGCTACCCGCAGACCCACCTTCAAAGAACTACAGCGTGTGCTCCATAAGCTGACCACCTTGCACATCCACGGTGAGCCTTTGATCCTGACCCTCAGACTCCCTAGACCTTCCTATACCTTCTAACCCAAACTTCAGGCTCTCATTTCTGCATCCAGATGACTTCCTAGCTCTTGGACTGCAGCCCAATCACATCTTCATTGAGAAAGACCTGGGCTGGCTTCTCCTCAGCTAAACTGGAGCAACATCTTTTGTTTTATGGCAGGAGAAGACCCCCGGGAGACACTCAGGTTGGACTCACCTCAGACACACTGGAAGACAATGAGAGAGAGGAAAAAGGCTATCAAGGAAGAACACAAGGTCCCCAGTGATGAAAATGAGGCACTAGGCCAGAACGAAGACTCTCCCCAACAGGGTTTGAACACCATCTGTCAACTCTCAAGTCTCTATCTGGGTGTCTGTCCTGGAAATACAATAGCAAATCCCTTGCTCTCACTTTCCTGTTCACACATGAGCCTTACCCAACATTCACACGGGTCTGATTATAGTATGGGGTATAGGGTAGAACAGTGAGACATGTTACTGAGACACGTTTAGTAACCTTCCCAAATCTCCTGTTACTCCTTTCGTTCCTCGATATATTACTAGTACACAGAAAAGTCTTAACATGAAGTTGATTTTCTAGCTCTTGGGTTGTAGGCCTTATTGGATGCCAAGGACTGCTTCCCTGGCTGTACTCTTGGCCTGCATAGCTGTCATTGCTCCTGTGCTTTCCTCTGTGTGCACCATCCTAAGGCTGCTCATGGGCGAGTCCGGGGACTTTTGTCGCTGCCTAGCTCCTTCTGGATTTGCCCTCATTTGGGCTGAGACCCTCATTTCATGTGACACTAATGGATTTAGCTCTTGATGTACTACTTTATCTTGGCTGACAATACAAATAATTTTATTTCAAGGTGATCTATATTATCTCTTTATGTACATTCTTATGTATCTGGGGCAGCCCCTACCCTTCCACCCTCTGCTTTTTCTTCAGGTGGATGTGACATGTCAAGTTTTTCCCTAGGTTCGGGGTCAGAGGGAGAAGATGGCTTCCAGGTAGAGTTGGAGCTAGTAGAGTCGACAATTGGGACCCTGGATCTCCGTGAGTGTGAAATATTGCCCAAGCGAAGGAGGAGAAAAAGGAGTAAGAGGGAGAAAACCCGAGACCTGGAGACTGGGGCACATATGACTCTCCCCCAGCAACCTCAAGAAGAGGTCTTCTCACAGCCAGCCAGGGCACATGCAGCCCCTTTGGAGCCTTCCCCAGATGAGGCCAAGGTCACTGGTCATTCAGAGCTCTGGGACATGCTTCTCACTGCTTGCCGAGCTGGAGATGTTAGGATGCTGCAAATCTGGCTAGCTGCCAGCCCCATAGACCCTGAAGTGCTGTCTCTTCTCAATGCCCCCTTGGGTTCCAGTGGCTTCACCCTCCTGCATGCAGCAGCCGCAGCTGGGAGAGGTTCAGTGGTTCGCCTGCTGCTGGAGGCAGGTGCTGACCCCACCGTTCAGTAAGTATGGGTCCCCACGCTGAGCCCTTCATATAGAGAGGATGATCTGAGGGCTAATGTTGGCATTGGCTACTTGACGGTATTCTCCTTGGTCTTGTTATGGGGTGTATGGAGAAGCACGAGGCAAGATGAACCCGTTTTGGGTGTTTTCACACCTAGGGACTCCAGGACCCGGCCACCATATACCGTTGCAGCTGACAAATCAACACGGAATGAGTTCCGAAGGTTTATGGAGAAGAATCCAGATGCTTATGATTACAGCAAGGCTCAGGTCAGCTGGGAAGGAAGAAGCAGCAGAGTGGGAAGGCACCACAGATCATCCTGGCTGAATCTTTTCTACTTTCTTACTGTTTTACGAAGGGTAGTTTGTATAGGCCTTACCTCATATTGTCTCGGAAACCCTCCAGGTGCCAGGGCCACTGACACCAGAAATGGAGGCACGGCAGGCTATGCGGAAAAGGGAGCAGAAGGTAGCCCGGCGACAACGGGAGGAGCAGCAGCGAAAGCAGCGAGAGCAGGAGAAGCGGGAACAAGAAGAGCAGCAGCGATTTGCCTCTCTCAGCGACAGAGAGAAGGTGCGGCTGGAGGTTCTCTCTTCCACAGTGAGACTTCCTTGGAGGTGTAACCCCTTTCCAATGTGCAGCTGTCACTTGTAGGGTACGCTGTCCACCCTTGGAGGCTTGTCCTTAACACGACTTCTCTTCCCCTTAGAGAGCTCTGGCTGCTGAGCGCCGACTAGCTGCCCAGTTGGGAGCCCTTGCCCCCCAGATCTCTGACTCTGCAATCGCCAATGCCCAGTATGTCGAGAGGCGGGACAGATGGCATAATGTTGGGGCAAGTTGAATGAGTGCCTACGTAGAGAGGTTGTTGAGGGGGTTTCAGAAGTTCTTTGAACCTTTGGAGTGAAAACAAATGGCAAGAGGGACAGGGAGAACTTGGATTGGAAACTTCCTGGGGTACCTGTCCATCCGTTTTTCTTCCTCTGTTCAGACGCTGCTGCAGCTGTGGGACATCCCTCCAAGGCCTCATTCCCTTTCACTACCTCGACTTCTCCTTCTGCTCCACACGCTGCCTGCAGGATCATCGCTGCCAGGCCAGGAAGCCCTCTTCCTGACCTCTCACGGCTCCACCTGGGGTCAGCTCTAGACCCTGAGAGGGCACAGTCACACTGGTCCTAGGTTTCCTCTTCCCCGAGAAACCAGAGTATTTGGAAGATTAGGGTGAGAGACACTCAGGAACCAGGGCAAAGACGGCCACAGAGGTGTGTGGAGCTGGTAGTCTCTGGAACTTTAATTACAATAAAGTTTTTGGAAAGGGAACTGTACTTGTCCAGTTGTTGTGGCTTTGATTCTTTGTGGTCACTGTGGCCAGTGCCAAGGAATCCTGCCTGCTCCATGTCCCAGGTCCAGGGGTTAACCTTTCTTTCAGTGCCCACTTAACTCCATTGGTTCAGGGGCACTTTGTGTATCATCTGAGAGGGAATAGATATATGTCTTATGCAAGGTGCTATTGAGGATAGGACTATCCAGGAACTGGATTTGGGGTTGGGGAGGCACATTTTCTAGCTCCAGCAATGTGATTTTATTGAGTGCTCCCCCAGGAAACAGCAGGGGTCTTGGCACGTAGAGGGTCTGTTGTGGCCCCCTCTTTGTCCAGTACCGACCCAAGTTAAACCCATTGATCCAGACTTGGCCCTGCGGGGAAAGAGGAGAGAAGGAAATAAACGGGCAGTTCTCCAGGTGGTAGAATCATCCCCTTTTGGGTTTGTAATCAGAGGAATGATTTCTGATACCCCTTCCATGAGTTCCCTGGCTTACCACCCCCCACCCCGAACCCCACCACCGCCATTGGCAATACCTTGGTCCATCCAGGTAGGAAGAGAAATGTGTCTCCGCCTGAGTCTAAAACTGGAAATGTTGTAGAGTAGAAGGTGGGGCCAGAGGGAGTTTGAGGATGCAAACTTTTTGGCAATTGGAGGGGAAACCACCACTTTACAAGCTTATCAATTTTCAGAGGGAACATCAGCCACTGGGTAAGGATCGTTTGCCCCAGAACTGGTGGCTCTAATAGGCCCTGTGAAGAAGGCAAATGAAAATTCAGCAATCAGTAACCTCTAAGGCGAAAGGTTCCCTAGTCAAGCCCTGAGATATAACTAGTAGCCATGTCCACAACCCCACAAGACACTACACTTTGCTAAGGATGTGGCTCTTGCTTTTATCTTCCATCAGGCCCCTCTCCAGGGAAGTGTGGTCATAAGGATATAAGGGAGAAGGGATGGGCAAAGCTAGCTCACCTTGAAGTCACTGTGGTTAGACCCAAAACTGAGCCTCCCCATGTTCTCCAGCAAGACATCCAGCTTGGCCCCCATCTTCCCCGTCAAAAATAGTTTGTGTTTAGTGTTTCGTTCCAGAACACCCTGAAACACCTGTAGATAAGAGGATCTATGAGGGGAAGGGCCAGCATCTGGCTCCCAGCCACCAAATTGGAAGCCACATTAGGACACTATTTGGAGGGCAAAGAGAATGTGGCCCATCTGTCGATTACCAATCCATTCTGGAACCTCACCCTCAGTCAACTCTTTGTCTCAGCTTATCCCTGGACCCCCTGCAAATGTGGGCAGGCAGTGGGAAAAGGTAGATGGGAACTTCAGGCTTAAAGGTGCTTGGGAGGAGGAAAGTGGGCCTCACAGGTAGCCTGGAATTAGGTGCGTACCCCATCCACCATCACGTAGGCACGGTCATGGACTCCACTGTTCGGCACCCAGAACTGTGCTGGCTCAAAAACAGTGTGGCTTAGATAGGTCCGGTACAACATGAAGCCAAGGTCCTGGGTATGGGAGATGAGTACTTAAGATAAACTGCAATGAAAATGGTATCGTGGGGAAGACATGGAACTCAGGGAACCTTTGGCTATAGCTGTTGAGGAAGGTTGCCTTACCTACCAGATGTGGAATTACACCTTACCTGCTTGACAGCCTCGAAGGTCATTGGCAACATTGCATGGATGGGCCCTTGGGGGCACAGGAGGTGCAGAAAATCCAGCAAATATCCATCCTATTAGAATAAGGGGATGGCAAAAAAAAACTAGAGTAAGGGGGCAGTATCAGAATAAAAGGAAGGTTTCAGAATAGGGAGCAGACAAGATAAAGGGCTACTTAGAGAATAACAGGATAGAATCAAGAGATGGGGAGGAGCTTACCAGGTACAGGGTCAAAGGTCCGAGCATCATCTTAGGGCTGGGGGGAGGTAAAGGTCCCAAGGGAATTTCCTGAAACTGAGCCCAAATTCTCTCAGGAGCCATAGAAAAACCATAGAACTCCTATTTCAAGACCCTAGCACAGGTTCTTAACCTGGGGTGCAGGGAAGGGCTTCAGGGGTCATAAAGATCCTGTAATTTTGCACATACTGGTGTGTACCTTCCCAGGGAGTCCCATTTGGGCAAGTGAGAAATGCTTCTGTGGGGTGCTGACAGGGCTCTGTGGCCCAGACGACCACAAGCGATTCCTGGGAACCCTTTATGAACAATTTAGGCGCTCTCTTCCCCCAAATTAATAAAAGCCTTTAGGGCTTAATGAAGTGGTAGGGCACCTGGCTGATGACATTTCGAAGAGCAAAAAGCTTAGGTGTGGCATCCCCTGCTTCAGATATTGGCGCATCATAGTCATAGCTGGTAGTAATCGGAAGGAAGCGTCCCTTCTCATCGGCACCTGTTGCCATCAGAGGGGGCAGCTGTGGCCATATCCAGCTTTCTTCTAGATATCCTAATCCACCCAGCCTTCAGACTCGAATTCCTTGCTATGGCCCTGCTTTCCACCCCTCACACCATTTGGACTCACCATTCCAGTATCCAAAGTTGGTACCTCCATGAAACATGTACCTGAAGTGGGGGAAGGTGGAGGGAAAGGCGCAAGCTGAGCCATGGAATCTTAACTCTCATCCCCAGCACCCAGTTCCAGATTCATGTTGACCCAGTGCCTGCAGTTACATGTTCACACTGGCTCCCAACTTCAGCATGTTCTCTAGTCCTTCGGTTACCGCTCTAACCGACCGTGTGGAGTGATTCTGGCCCCAGTAATCCAGCCAGCCGGTGTAGTACTCAGAGTTCACCTAGTGGGAAGTGAAAGGAGCCATGAGCAAGATGGGTAACTGTATTCAACCCATTCCAAACCCCGACTCTCGCCTTAACTGCCCTCCCTTCTCGTTTCTCACCAATGGCCCGTGGGGTTCATACACCCTCTGCAGGGCAAACATTTGGGTCATGTTTTCAGCTGCAGAAAGGAGGCACAGGTGAAAAAGACATCTCGGAAGAGGTGCCCCTTCCCCAGACTCCACTCCTAGCCCTTGCTCAGGAGACCTGGGCCAAAATCTACAGTGGTATAGAGTCCCTTCAGAGAGCCACATCTGAGTCCTTCAGGCCCATCTGTGGTGAAGAGCAAGATCTTCTCCCCCAGCAGTGCACGCAAGAGCCCAGCCAGGTGCCTCATGTAGCTGAAGTCACAGGCCCTATAGCTACCGTATTCATTCTCCACCTGCCAGGAGAAAGGAAGAGTGGAGCTCAGCCATGAGGTGGAGAAGGTTCGGCACCCTGGCACCTCCTTCCCCTTGCCCGGTCAACTCTCTACTTGTACCTGAATGCTAATGATGTTGCCCCCATTGTGGTAGAGCCATGGATATATCTTGGGCAGCAAGACCTTGAACCAGGAGTCCACTGCAGCAAGGAAGTCTAAAGGAAGGAGTGGTGCTCTGCTCATTAGGGCACCAGTACCTCCACAATGCCCACCCCAGCACTGACGCCAGCAGCTTCATTCAGGGCTGCCTGAACTCCGGCCGAAGTCTGCGCCCCACTTGTCCACAGCTGAACGTGGGGAGCAGTGACTCTTGTGAGAAGCAGCTCTCAACCCTAAGCTCTTATATATCTGCGCGACTAGAAAGGTTTGAGCACAGACAAACTTAAAGCAGTGTTTCTTGTACATTCATTTTTTAACTGTAAGAAAAATGTTAAACACATCGGCATGGAGCTACTGTGATCAGTGTACACTTGAGATTGCTATGAAGTAGCGCAGGAATTCATAGAAGTGTAAGATGTCTGACCTGCACCTCAATGTAACCTGACAGTCCAAGGAACCTAAGTCATCAACTGAATGATCATTGAATTAGCTATCATGCCTTAAATTCTCAACTGCTATTGCGATTTTTGTTGATTCCTCCTCATAGTCTTCCTGAGTGTTATTACCTTTGCCTGACACCTTCTCCTCATCCTCCTTTACCTAGCCAACTCCAATTCAGTCTTCAGGTCTTAACTTCTATTTCACTTCCTCAAGGAAGCCTTAGGTATCCCAGATTAGGGGAGATCCCCGTGACACGCTCTCCTGTCACCCCATACTTCTCTTTCAAGCATATAACCAAGTGCAGTTAAGCATGTATTCCTATCACTGTGTCCTGTTGCTCCCCCGCTAGTGAGCAGGAGCTTTGTGGGGTTCATTTGCTTGGTCCCTGTCACTGAGGACAGTGCCTGCAGACAGCAGATTCTCGAAGGCAGACTTGATGAAAGATATTTTGGAGGATATTTTTGTATTCTTAAAAGATTTAGCCCTGGCTGGTGTAGCTCAGTAGATTGATCACTGGCCTGCAAACCACAGGGTCACAGGTTTGATTCCCAGTCAGGGCACATGTCTGGGTTGTGGGCCAGGTCCCTGGTGTGGGGTGGGCAAGAGGCAACCACATATTGATGTTTCTCTCCCTCTCTTCCTCCCTCCCCTCTGCCTAAAAATAAAATAAATAAAATAAAAAAATATTTAATTCCTTTATATTTTGTGTGTTCTGTATAAAGGAGACCCAGGTTTCATTGCCTTCTTTAATCCAAGCATACATTAAATTTCATTCAACAAATATTTATGGGTGGTGACTAAGCACCAAGCACTGTTCTAGGGGTTAGGGACACTGAATAGAACAAAATAGACAAAAATCTCTGCCTTTGTGGGATTTCCTTTCCAGTGAGGGGAGCAGATAATAAATTAAGAGGTAAAATATACAGTAGGCTAATGCCAAGGAGAAAAAGTAAAGCAGAGAAGGAAGATGTAAAATGGTGCAGTGGGGGAGCTCAAATTTTAAAGGGTGGCCCAGGGAAGGCTCCCGGCGAAGGTGATCTGCCGAAGCCCCAGTGGGTGCGAAGAACAGCAGTGAGACCAGTGTGAACCATGAGAAGAGCAGGTGTCAGGCAGGTGACTAGGCCACCTGGGTAGGACCTCATTGACCATCTGAAGGAATCTACGGTTCGTATTCTGAATGAGATGAGAACCTGTTGGAGAGGTTTAAGCAGAGGAATGACATGATCTGATATACAGTTAAACATATTTTAACAGGATCATGCTGGTTGCTATATTGAGAATAGACATGGGGGAAGGGCAAAGAACGGAAACCATTTAGGAAGCTATTAAAATAATCCAGCTGAGAGAGGTGGTTTGAACCACAGCGGCGGCAGTGGAGATGGTGAGAAGTAGTAGAATTCAATATATTTTGAGGGTAAAGCTGACAGAATTTTCTGATGGATTAAATGTGCGCTGTGAGAGAAAGAAAGGCATGAAGAATTATACCATAAGTATAATTCTTGAATAAGAATTCAAGTTGGAATTCGATAAGAATCAGTTTCCAACTGATGAGTTGGAAAACAGATTTGCCATTAACCGAGACGGGGCGATTGTTGAAATTACTGAGTTGGAAGGCAATAACAAGAGTTTAGTTATTATCATTGCAAGTTTTAGATCTCCGAATGCAGAAGTCAAGCAGGGCAGTTGGATATATGTATTTGGAGGCCAAAGGAAGATCCTGAAGATAACATATTTCAGACTCATGAGCTATCAGATGGAATTTAAAGGCATGCAATGGACAAGATCATCCAGGGAATGAACATAGAAAAGAGAAGCATCGAAATGCTGAGTCCTGAAACAAGCATTTATCAAAGACTGAGTAGTGGCCAGAAAGACGGTAGGGAGAGAGGCAAAGAGGAGAACTGTGGTATCGTGGAAGCTGAGAGAAAAATGTATTTCAAGGGAGAGTGACTGGCTGTGCTGAGTGCTGCTGACTGGCTGAGGAGGATGAGGCCTGAGAAATCACCATGGAGTTAACAATAAAAAGGTCACTGGTTTTCTTGAGAAAAATAGATTGCATGTTGGTGTCCCATCGGTACTTTCTCTTTTAAAGTATATTTCATAGTCAATTGAGTTTGGGAAATGCCTTAAGAAAATGCCTTTGGGAAAAGCTCTCCAGTGCCCTGTAAAGCAGAACAGCCCCTGGAGAGTCCTCAGCAGATATAAAGTGGTACTCGAGCAATCTTTCTAAAGATAAAATTAATGCCTTGCTCTAATGACTTCCTATTTGTACCTGAAATCCAAACTTCTTAAAATATTAGGCACCTCAGAGTTTAATCCTGAGTTCATCTTTTCCTTCTCTAAACTCTCCCCAGGTGATGGCTCAGCACCCATAAATTTAAGTGCCATCTTTAGCTGGCACTTATTCCAAAATGTAATGCAGACCTCTGCCTAAGCTCCGCACTCACATATCCTATTACTTATTTTAATAACCCTACTTGAGTTAGAAATGATAAAAATTGAACTATTTTCTCCCCCCAAAAGTTGTCCCTTTGCTGCTCTTTGTCCTATCTCCTCCCTGTCAGTAAATAGCACCACCATCTTGACTGGCCAGAAACTGCGTTCCTTTCTCTCCAGACCCTACTAACACTCTCCCCACCCCCACCCTTCCCTTTAAAATCTATCAGGCAGTCCTGGTGATGTTATCTCCAATCTACATCCCAGTTCTGCTCTCTTCTCCCCATTTCCTCTGCTGCCGCCACCACCACCATCATAGTGTGGGAGCTACTGCCTCCTCAACTACAGGCACAGTCTCCCAACTGGTTTCTTCACCATCGCTCTTACTCCCCTGCCCTCAATCCACCCTCCACATCCAGGCTGAGCTCATGTGAAAACAAATCCAATTACGTCACATCTCTGGTTAAACTCTTTCAATAACTTTCCACTATGCTGAGAATAAAATGCAAACTCCTTACAACAGCATCAACAATCACCATCTATCTCCGCTTTCACATCACACCACTCTCTCCCTTACCCACCATGCTCCAGCCACACTGGCCTCAACCATGCCTGTTCTTCCCCATCTCTGGGCCTCAGAACATCCTGTCCCCTCTATCTGGTTGTTCTCCCCACTCTTCATATGACCAGAGCTTTTCCTTGTCTCTGGTCAACAGAATGTCATCTTTTCAGAAAAGTATCTCCTGACCTCTCTACCTAAAAGAGGCCCTCTGTATTATTCACTAGCTCAACTCCTTGTCTATTTTCTTGTGTGGTATTTTTATAACTTGCAATATTACAGGTTTGGGTTTCTTTAAAAATCTGTTTCTTCCACTATACTAGAACCCGCTGCACAGTGGCTGGGTCTGTCTGGTTCCCCAGTTTCTAGCATTCTGTTGGGCATGAAGGGCGCAATATGATCTCCAGTTTGAGGACAGTCTCTTCTGTTTGGGGCACCCAAGTGACCCATTTGTCATTGCTGTTTGCTTTTTTTCTGTGTTAAAAATTTTTTTGAATTATTTATTTTTAGAGAGAGGGGAAGGGAGGGAAGAAAGGGAAACATCAATGCAAGACATACATCAATCTGTTGTCTCTCACACGCCCCCAAGTGGGGACCTGGACTAACTGCAACCCAGGCATGTGCCCCACTGGGAATGGAACCAGCAACCTTTCTTTCTTTCAGCTCACAGGTGGGTGGGTGCTCAATCCAGTGAGCCACACCAGCCATGGTTATGTGTTAAATTTTTCTGTCTCCACTTACCTGGATCTGAGGTTCTCAGGCGAATGTTAGGTTTACGAAGCAACCAGGCTGGGAGACCCCCCTGAGACAAACATAAAGACGATGAAGCAGCTTGTGGGTTTCGTTGTCTGAGAAGTTAAATACTGTACTGAAAGTGGCCCTAGAGGATGGGCAGAAGGCAGTAGCCCAGGGACCCCATCTGGGTGGCTTTGGTTCTATCCCTTCCCCGACTAACTTACCATCTCCCACTCCGCACAGATGTAAGGTCCTGGTCTCAGTATGACCAACAGGTTCGCTAAAGATGCCTCATTCAGAAATGCCAGGAGATCCCGGCTGCCATTAAAGTTATAGACCCCAGGCTCTGGCTCATGGTAGTTCCAGGGCACATAACTGAAAAAGGAAGAGGTTAACAGGGCCCAGGGCGGGCATGGGGAGATGCCCAGGAGGCATAAGGGCTCCTGGCCTTGCAGGAAATCTCCAGGAAAAAGCTGTGGGAAGGAGGTCCTGGCCCACCCTTCCCCACCCTTTGCCTGGAAGTCCTGGAACTCTACCCCTCATCATACCCAGCCAGTGTTCCTGTCGAAATCCCCCTTTTGAAGGGGGTGGTAGGAAGAGTAAATCCCACCCCTCTCCTGAGCCCTTCTTACAACTGTATGGCGTTGAGGCCACTCATTCTCATTTTGAAAAGCCGGTCTGCCCAAAGCACCCGAGGTACCCGAAAGTAGTGAAGGCTGCCAGACACGTAGCTGAACGGAACCCCGTCCAGGAGGAATCTATCATGATCCCAATCCACTACGAACGACCGACTGTCTGCCTGCAAAGGGAGAGATCGTGCACAGTAGAGCTCTGGAAGAAGCGGAGTGCGACCGGTGGGGGGGGGGGGGGCGGGCGGGTGTTGGGGTGCCGGCCGCTGCTCTGCTCAGTGTTTTGTTATTTTTCGCTCTCTCTCCTATGCCTCACCGCAAACTGTTTCAGTCCTCTCATCTTACCTGGAGCAGCAGTAGCGTCAGGGGCAGCAGCAGCAAGGAGGGAAAACAGAGCGGCTTTTTGGGAGCCATGGCGCTTAGACGGCGGTCCAACTGTCACGTGGCGGATTCCTGGGAGGAAACCTCGGCGAGCAAGAAGGGGCGGAGACCACCTCAAGTTGCCAAGCAGTTAGCTATCCTGATTTAGTCTCCGGTTACTCTACTAGTTTGTAAAATCCTCTACATCTTGAACCAGTTTTATCAGCGTCACCTGGGAGCTTGTTAGAACTGCAGAGTCTCAGGTCCTACCTCAGACTGATAGAACCAGAATTTGTATTTTAACCAGATTCCAGGTGATCATAAGCACGTTCAAGATTAAGAAGCAGCCCTGGCTGGTGTAGCTCAGTGGATTGAGTGTGGGCCTGTGAAGCAAGGGATCACGGTTCGATTCCCAGTCAGGGCACATGCCTGGGTTGCAGGCCAGTTCCCAGCAGGGGACCCACAAGAGGCAGCCATACATTGATATTTCTCTCCCTCTCTCCTTCCCTTCCCCTCTAAAGATAAATAAATAAAAATTTTAAAAAAGATTAAGCAGTGCTCTACTAGACTAAGCTCCCTAAAGGTTGAGGGTGTCTTGTCCATCTTGAATCCTCAGCCTCTAGCACTGAGCCCACACCTGGCAGATGTGTGGACCCAAATCTAGACGATGTCAGAGCCAGGGGGCTAAGACAGGGTCAGGACCAAGGGAAACTGTAGGAAGATCATCCCAGTCCTGTGTAAGGGAGGCCATGGGGAGGCGGGTTACAAAATGGATCTTTTTTCCTGGAGAGCCCTATTTCAACCACCACCCAGGATATTCCATCTTCTTTGGATGTGCACTGATTTCCAATGTACCCCTGCCCGTCTGGACAAAAAGATGTCAAGGACAGCAGCTTGGCGCCAAGGCTTAGGAATTTGTGAATTTCCATTACACCTGCCTTCACAGTCCCAGGGGTGGGATGTGAGGACCAGGGTAATAATAAAAGTAATAATAATAATAACAATAATAATTCTGCCTGGCACTTATTGAGGGCTATGCATCAGGCACTTCACATATCATTTAGTCTTCAAACAACTCCATAAGGTAGATAATTATCATTTGCTTTTTACTGATGAGGAAATTGAGGGACAGCAACATTAAGTAGCCTGTCCAAGGTCACATAACTAGTTTAGTAGAGTTGGAATTTGAACTAGGCAGTCTGGCCTCATGGTTCATGCACTTAACCTTAGGTACTAGTCTATTTTATAAATAGGAAAAGTGAGGTTAAATGACTTGTTCGAGGTCACACATCTAGTAGGCTTTATTAAACGACCAGATTTAGAGCCTCGTCTGGTTCAAGAGCCTCAGCTCTTAATCAGTGAGACTAGGGTAGTGGATATAGGCCGGAGCCCCCAGGGTTGTACAGATCAGAGCTCCAGGAATCCAGATAGCCCCCACCCACTCTTGGTCTACCCAGCGCGCCGGAGGTATGACGCCTCCTACCTCCGGCATTGGGAATGGAGGTCCTGGGGGCCTCGGGCCGTGCCCGGCTTTGCTCCCCCTTGGCCTAGGTGCTTGCGTCCTGACCCCTACTGAAGGTGTAGAACCTTCACTTGGGTCCTCGAACCCGTCCTCCTGCAGACCTAACCCGTCCACTGGTCAGCTCTGCGCCCCCACATCGCCCGGATGCCCGGCGGTTGCTAGGATACCGCGGGCTGTTCAGCAGGCGCGGAATGATGACACATCACTGCTTCCGGTCCTTGACGCTTTTCTCCTGTTCAAGCCAGGTCAGTGGGGGAGCTGGGCTGGCTTACCTGGGTTGTACTCGCAGATGGGCTCTGTAAGCGTTAGGTCCGAGCCTCCCACACCCTGAGAACTACGCTATACCCTTGCCTTCGCGACCCGACGGGCAGGGGAGCCAGGGCCGCCCGAAGGTGGGCTGGTGGTGGAGGAAGCGGTCTGGTAGTTGCTGCGTGGCCTGAGGCTTTAAGGCACCTGATCCCATCCTCCTTGGAGATGGTATCGGCAGGGCCGGTTTTCTATAGATTCCGATACCTGGGCCTGATCTCTCCACATTAGTACTTCAGGGGCCGTCTAGATTGTGCCCGACCCACGCGATCCTTCCCTTTCAGCATGATCTGGCGGGGCCCCAGTGCATCGCCTGGGATAGCGCACTCAATCTGGACGAACCTACTGGCAGCCTCAGACCGCCCTTGAGGAGGATGACTGAGACATTATGGGCCACGCGCTGTGTATCTGCTCTCCGGGAACTGTCATCATTGACAATAAGCGCTACCTCTTCATCCAGAAACTGGGGGAGGGGTGAGTGTTTGGAAATCACTAGTCCCCAGGATTATGGTGATTGAAGGACAGCCATCTGTACCTGATAGTGGCAAAAGGTTTTATTCTGTCACTTATCCTTTAACCCACCTTGCAGAGCCTTAGTGACATGCTAGTCAAGAAAGTAGATTCTGGAACCAGGCCTCCACCTTTTATGACCTTGATAGGCCCTGGTTTCTTCATTTGCTTAAGGGAGATAATTACTATCTTGCGTAATTGATGGGGCTGTGAGGATTAAATGAGATAATGCGTATAAAACATCTCACCAGTGCCCGGTTCACAGCACTTAATAAATGTTAGCTATTTGTTGATGTTTATGAGCATCTGTTATGTGCAGAGCACTGGGTTATAATCACAGGGCCTCAAAGATTACTTTGTCCCAGCTCTGGAGCTCAAAGTGCAATAATCTTCAGGCTTCTCTTAGAGTTACATCTTGGGAGGGTTTCTATTAAATGGGAAAGACACCCCCTGTTCTTTCCAGGGAATTCCTCTGGGTCCGAGCAGTGTGGGAGATGACCATGGTCCTTCACTGACCCCTTTGGCCCACAGTGGGTTCAGCTATGTGGACCTAGTGGAGGGGTTACATGACGGACACTTCTACGCCCTGAAGCGAATCGTGTGTCACGAGCAGCAGGACCGGGAGGAGGCCCAACGAGAAGCAGACATGCATCGCCTCTTCCAACACCCAAACATCCTTCACCTCGTGGCTTATTGTCTGAGGGAGCGGGGCAGTAAACATGAGGCCTGGCTGCTGCTACCCTTCTTCAAGGTCAGAAAGTCTCCTGGCTGTGGAGGGGTTGCAACAGAGCCACCGACCAAGAGCTATGTGAGCAGTCAAGTATGTGAGGAAGCAGAGGCTATGTCCTGGGTTTGACCACTTCAGATTTGGAATTTAGAGGAATCCAAATGGGACTGTAGGGTGTGTGGTGTGTGTGGTGAGAAGGTTGATGGGCTTTTGACATGGGGAAGGGACCAGGCTCCGGGAGCAGAGCCTTGAAAAACAACTGCGGGTGTACTTGTGTTGCAGAGAGGTACGCTGTGGGATGAGATAGAGAGGCTGAAAGACCGAGGCAACTTCCTGACTGAAGAGCAAATCCTTCGGCTGCTGCTGGGTATCTGCAGAGGTCTTGAGGCCATTCATGCCCAGGGTTATGCCCACAGGTCAGTGGGAGGGCCCTGTATGTTCTCTGGGGCAGAAAGGAAGAGCTTCATCAAGAGAAATGAGAAGTCTCTGCTCACCTCTCAAGGAACAGCCCCATGATTTTTTGTCCCCCCTGGGACTCTAGTCTCCCTGTCCAGGGATGTTCATGGGTCATTTCCACTTCCTGACAGGGACCTGAAGCCTACTAATGTCTTGCTTGGAGATGAGGGGCAGCCGGTTTTAATGGACTTGGGTTCCATGAATCAAGCACAGATCCATGTGGAGGGCTCCCGCCAGGCTCTGGCTCTGCAGGTAAGAGTCTCCAGGTTCCTTTGTCCACCTGTTCCCCATCTCTGACCTCTTCTGGTGCATTCCCCATTTTGTTCACATGACCATAACCTGTGCCTGACTTTTGAGCTCTGGGGTCACTGTTCCAGGACTGGGCAGCCCAGCGGTGCACCATTTCCTACCGGGCCCCAGAGCTGTTCACTGTGCAGAGTCACTGTGTCATCGATGAGCGGACTGATGTCTGGGTGAGGAGCATGCAGCTGGGAATCTGGGTGGGGAGGAGCACTGCTCTGTACCTACTATGGAGTACAGGAGGAGGTCTTTGGTTTCCAGGGCATGGGGCCCCAGGAAACATGTATGTCCCCATCCCCCTCAACTTCCTTCCTGGCAACTGTCACTGACATTGTACTTAATTGCTCAGGAAGTGGTATAACCCTGCCCTTTGAACAGGGGTGGTACAACTAGGTGCTGGGGCTGAGGACAGTGGCTAAACAAAGGGTGCAGAGGCTTCCAGCTAACTGGCAGTTTCTCTGGGCCCTGGAGGGGTCAAGTGGCTGAAGTCAGCATACTCCTTTTAGCTCATGTAGTCTCCTTTCACTACAAAATTAAGAGGAGAGTTATAACTTCCATCGATCCCCTTCATGGAGTAACCAAGTTATGCTCAGTCTCTAGGCTGTGTCTTATATGCTATGATGTTTGGAGAAGGCCCTTATGATATGGTGTTCCAGAAGGGTGACAGTGTGGCCCTGGCTGTGCAGAACCAACTCAACATCCCACAGAGCCCCAGGTGAGCACTAGAAGGGCACCAAGCACTTCAGACTCTCCTCGACATTACTGGAGCCTCGGCATGGCGGACGGGTGCCCTTCGGTCACCCCGCGCTCCTCCCCCAACAGGCATTCTTCAGCATTGCGGCAGCTGCTGGCCTCAATGATGACTGTGGACCTGCAGCAGCGCCCTCACGTTCCTGTCCTCCTCAGTCAGTTGGAGGCACTGCAGCCCCCAGCTCCAGGCCAGCACACTACTCAAATCTGACCAAACCAGTGGCCACGTTGAGGTGGCCCCTGTGCCTTGGAACAAGTCTGCCGTCTCTCACTGGAACCTCTGTTCTTTCTATCCAGGCCTGCTCTCTTATGGTTGAGGGCAGGGGGTTGGGGCAAGTCAGCTCAGTCTTCTATCTCTGCTGTGTTCTCTTACCCCCAGAACAACTGGGTAGGGAACCTGAGTTGGGGTGGATGAGGGTGGGGTATGGGGAAAGGGAAACTGAAAGAACATGGTAAAAGCTCGGAGCAGGACTGCTGAACGTACATCATGGTCTGCCTCCAAGTCTGGGAGCAGGAGAATGTATAAATAAGAGAATAAAGTGAGCCCTGCCTGGTCTGGCTCAGTGGGTTGAGTGCTGGCCTGTGAACCAAAGGGTCGCCAGTTTAATTCCCAGTCAGGGCACATGCCTGAATTGCGGGCCAGGTCCCCAGCAGGGGCGCACAAGACGACCACACATTGATGTTTCTCTCCCTTTCTCCCTCCCTTCCCCTCTCTCTAAAAAATAAATAAAATCTTAAAAAAAAAATAAAGGGAAAGCAGCTTGGTGTGGACCTCAGTCTCATTGTTCCCGGAGAAAAGAGATGCAAGGGGCCCAAAGTCTCATTGCCATGTCCAAGGAACAGCCTGGAAAGAAGAGGGACTGGTGTAGTCAGGTCAGAAGGCAGGTATTCTTACTTTAAACCTGGCTGGTTGGCAATGGGCAGTTCTAGCTTGTCCAACTTAAACAGTTAAAGCTGCTCTGGCTTGAGTGGGCTCCTATGCCAAGAACTGAGAGCAGGGTCCCCTGAAGGCCCATTCAATTCATTTCTTTCCTTTCTTCTTTCCCAGGGGTGGGTGGCTTAGTCAGAGCAGCCCAGCTGGTTTGCCAGGCCAGTCTCTGGGTGGAGACACCTGAGGAACCTTTGGGACAGCTACATAATAGGTCTCCCAGCCTCAGCCTGGGGGCAGAGGGAGTGGAGGTGGCAGCCATTTGGGCCTACAGTCTCTCCCCACTGGTTTTAGCTCACTCATGGTTAATGGTTAATGAGGCCGGTGTGATGTGGCAGTGTCTAGCTGCCACTTCCTGCCTACCGTGCTGAGTAAACAGGGCCCGCCTTTGCTGGGCTTACAACCTGTTCCCCGGGGAAGGGCACTGCGTCCCCGAATCACAGGGAGGGAAAGCAAGGGCAGGGCTGGCATCTCCTGCTCCTGAGGTGGAAGCTTCTTTCCCTCAACCCTGCCCGCCCCCAACATGCTGACGTCAGTGTGGGCCCTGGGGTGCCTATTAGCAAAGTTGAAAATTTCCCTAGGGCCCTCACAAGAGGGTCCTACCAGCTAAAACAGAGGCTGAGGCCAGAAAGAAGGCACAAACAGAAGGGAGATGACCCGAGTTTTAATGGCACAGCCCTAGGCCCCAGCACAGCAGCAAGTCAGTAAGCTATGCAAAGCTGTTCATGCAGTGACATAAACAATTCCAGGAGGTGGCCCTGTTCCCTCCCATCCCCCAAGCTTATGACTAGGCTCCACGCCAAGGAACTCTGGGGCAGCTCAGCCCCACTCCCAAGCCCTCATAACATAGAGGTGCCTGGGCCAAGCCTTGCTTCCAGAGCTGATGAGTGCAGAAGCCATGGGAAGAACAGCGTCCTGGTCTTAACCCAGATACAGAAACTGCTGGACTGAAACTCTCACTTGGAAAGGAAGTGAAGATTCATACCCTTCGATAGTTTGTGGCTGGATGGACAGGTCCAGGATTCAGTCCTCATTTCCTCCCTGTCCTGGGTGCCCCTGAGGATCTTACATCAAGGACCATGGGGTCATGTTTCCCGGGCCTGGCAAGGGCTCCTTGGCAGGTCTCGCCTTCAGCCATGGAAGGGAAAAGGGTCATGAGCAGCATATAGTGAGGGCAGCAGCAGAAGCAGCAGCAAGCAGCACAAGGAAGGCAGCAGAAGCTCAAGTACTCACAGAGGGAACCAGAAACCGTGCAAGGAAACTGTTTATTTCGAAAGGATTTTGCAATAAACACAGTAGGCTCCAGGCAGCTGGTCTATTCTTCTCCCTCATCCTCATCCTCATAGGAGTCGATGCCCACTTCCTCGTAATCCTTCTCCAGGGCAGCCATATCCTCCCGGGCCTCAGAGAACTCACCCTCCTCCATGCCCTCCCCCACATACCAGTGCACAAACGCCCTCTTGGCGTACATCAGGTCGAACTTGTGGTCCAGACGGGCCCAGGCCTCCGCAATGGCGGTCGTGTTGCTCAGCATGCACACGGCACGCTGCACCTTGGCCAGGTCACCCCCGGGCACCACAGTGGGCGGCTGGTAGTTGATGCCAACCTTGAAGCCCGTGGGACACCAGTCCACAAACTGAATACTGCGCTTGGTCTTGATGGCAGCGATGGCGGCGTTGACATCCTTGGGCACCACGTCCCCACGGTACAGCAGGCAGCAGGCCATGTACTTGCCATGACGGGGGTCGCACTTCACCATCTGGTTGGCCGGCTCGAAGCAGGCGTTGGTGATCTCTGCCACCGACAGCTGCTCGTGGTACGCCTTCTCTGCAGAGATGACTGGCGCGTAGGTGGCCAGGGGGAAGTGGATGCGCGGGTAGGGCACCAGGTTGGTCTGGAACTCCGTCAGGTCCACGTTGAGGGCCCCGTCAAAGCGCAGGGAAGCTGTGATGGAGGAGACGATCTGGCTGATGAGGCGGTTCAGGTTGGTGTAGGTGGGGCGCTCGATGTCCAGGTTGCGGCGGCAGATGTCATAGATGGCCTCGTTGTCCACCATGAAGGCACAGTCTGAGTGCTCCAGGGTGGTGTGGGTGGTCAGGATGGAGTTGTAGGGCTCGACCACGGCTGTGGACACCTGGGGGGCTGGGTAGATGGAGAACTCCAGCTTGGATTTCTTGCCATAGTCGACAGAGAGCCGCTCCATCAGGAGGGAGGTGAAGCCGGAGCCGGTGCCCCCACCGAAGCTGTGGAAGACCAGGAAGCCCTGAAGCCCTGTGCACTGGTCAGACTGAAAGGCAAGAAAGAGAAAGAGCAATGTACGTGGGAAGGGGCCTGAGGAGCTCTATCACTGGCTCCACAGAAGCCTAAATATCTCTGGAGCTAGGGCAAAGATTAATGAGTGTTCCATAGCAGCAGCATGCTCTGGAACATGTACAATTAGAGACGACTCCCTGAAAAAGATCTGGAAACAGAAATGTCCCTGACCATTAGCATCATCATCTGGAAAGCTCCCTCCCTTCACACCAGAGTCTCACCAGCTTGCGGATCCGGTCCAGTACTGGGTCAATGATCTCCTTGCCGATGGTATAATGACCACGAGCATAGTTGTTCGCAGCATCCTCTTTCCCAGTGATGAGCTGCTCTGGGTGGAAGAGCTGCCGGTACGGGCCATTTCGGATCTCATCTGCAAGGGCATAAAACATTGTCAGGGCCCAAACCACAAGGCTGTGCCCAGCAGGGACCTCCCTCCCTCACTGTGGTCGCTGCAGACAGATATGTGGAAGAGTTTACCCTTCTGCCAGCCTGAGATACCAGTGTGTGAGGAGCCCAGGCCTGCTGTGCAAGCCAGCCTGCGATTAGATTGCCTTCTTTAGACTCAAACTGGGTGAGGAGTTTTCAGGACTAGGAAAGACAGGTCTAGACATCAGCTCTCCAGAAAGAAGCCTAGAGTCACTCTCCACGCTCCTCAATTCCACCCCCTTCTTTCTCTCACCAATCACAGTGGGTTCCAAATCCACAAAAACTGCCCGGGGCACATGCTTTCCAGCTCCGGTTTCACAGAAGAAGGTGGTGAAGGAATCATCTCCCCCACCAATGGTCTTGTCACTGGGCATCTGCCCATCAGGCTGAATCCCATGTTCCAGACAGTAGAGCTCCCAGCAGGCATTGCCCATCTGGACACCTGCCTGCCCTACGTGGACTGAAATGCATTCACGCTGCGGGATAAAGAGAGGGGACACAGCATAAGCCCTTCATCCATAAGTCCCACTTCATAAGGTCTCCACCTCTCCCCCACCTTATCACCTACCAGCTAGGATGACTCAGTTGGCAAAAGTGGAGGCTTGGGGCTGGACAGAGGTCAGAAAAGGCTGGCAGCCTGCCCCTCCCCTCCTCCCCACAGGACTCCCCAGCTGGAGGCACCCAGTAGGGCGGGCCAGCCTCTTAGCCTACTTCTCCATGGGGACCTTGTCAAGTAAGAGCTCTGGCTCCACATGACCCTGCCACATTCAGCAGACACTCAGGGAGAATGGAGAAGGCAAGTGCATGTGAGACCAGCAGAGACTGCAGTAACAGTCAAGGACAGGAGACTTTTCAGCTGTTCCCAATTTCTACTACCTCAAAACCAGCTTCTCCAGAGCCTGAGAAAAGACAGGTTTTCCAAACCTGTGAGTTTACAGCGGGAGACCCCCATGCGATGAACTCTTTGCTTTAAGGATGAACCACTAGAATTTCATACAACCCTCTCCCTCTTCTTTTCTCTGGGCTACAGAGGCATCTCAGCCTTCCAGTCTGGTGTCAACTGACCACCGTGCCATCAGGGTGCCCTCTCCCCCACCTTTAAATCCCATCTGGCTCTGGAGATCAATCCCATCTGGCTCCTCTTCCCACCTCTACCCACACCTCCCCCCTCGGGAAAATAGCGATAATGCTGGTAAGTGCAGAGGGCACGTGCGGGCAATAAGGGCTGTGAGCACTAGGGCAGTCGCTGCCCTAGGCTCGCCCATGCCAGTCTGAAAGTAACCCCTGAAACGCCAACGTGGTGCGGAACACCGAAATGGCGGGGTGACGGCTTCCAAATGCTCAGAAAAGGAAGCGGAACCTGCGGCGAGGCCCCAAAGGTAACCCGCCTTGCCCGGAGCAGTATGAGTGCCCTCCTGCACCCCGGCCCTGTATTAGCCCGTCTTCTAGATTCTTTCCAGTTACATCCCCGCGGAAAGCGGGGATTGGATTTCGGCCCCCGTTCCTGGGCTATAAATACCACCCCCTACACACACCTCTTTCCCCTCCCCCCAACCTGGCCTCGGCCCGAGCTCCCGCTCGGCGACAGCTGTCTCTGCCCGTCCGCGCAACCGGGCTCATGCTGGTGAGGGGCCGGCCCGCCTCACGAGACCGAACCCCAGTCCTGGCTCAGAAGCGGGGTGCTGAGTCACGGTGTAGGGAGACCGTGGGTGGGAGGGATGCACACACAGTCGGAGGAAAAGGGGATGCTGGACCCAGTAACCTGACCCCTTCCACCTTCTGGTGCCAAGCATGTGCTCGGTCAGTTCCAGGGACCGGGTGTGGGGGAGGCTGGCGGCGAGGGCAGCCAAGTGGGTCTCCCTCTCCCGCGGAAACTGGGCGCAGGATTGCGTGACGCCCCTCAGGCGGATCAGGGCACAAATGCTTGGTGGAGCAGGAGGGGGGTTCCAGGAGGGCTCCTCTTTGCTAGTGAAGAATCCCACTCCACCCCCCGCCCCTTCGCCAGCCTTCGAAAGTGGACAACACAGCCCGGCCAAAGTCAGTAGGAAGGGGTGGGGGTGGGGGTAATGCGAACACGCTTGCACCTCCCGGAGACCCGGAACGCCAGATGGCGGTCCCCGAGCATCTCGCGAGGGAGCGTCCCTGAAGGAGAGGGGCAAGGAGGGGACCGGCAAGACCACGGTGGGGCCGCACTCACCATGGTGAGTCCGGGCGGTGGGTCTCACGCAGAGTCCGGGTGACGGGTCTCAGTGAGAAGTGCGCCGGCTGCACTGCCGCACCGCTCTTATATGCGGGGGCGGGGCCGCGCGCTCCGCTCGCCCACTGGAGGCTGAGCGGCCGGGAGGCCACGCCCCCGAGGGGCAGGAGCCTGCGAGAGGTGGGGCGAGAGCCGGTCCCCTCCCCCACCGGGTCCCTCACGTGTCCGACCTGCGTTCAGAGTAGCAACCCAGGGTTTATACCCTGGCTCTCGGTTTTGAGCCGACCCTCGGGTCTCTCGACCTCCGCTGCAAGTACGCAGGGCGCGGTGCCAGAGCGCGCCTCGCCTGCACCTGCGTCATGGGGGCGCCGGTGGCTCAGGTGTCCTGGCTTAGGCCGGATGCCATCGAGTCTGTTCTTCCGAGGTGGCTGCGGCGAGCCTTCGCGGGTGCCCTCCCCGCCCCGCCTCCCTGGAGGCTCCTATAAGCTGTCTGGCTCCCGCGGGTCCTCGAGGGACCCCTTGCGGCTGCACGCCGCCTGCCGGTCCGCAGCCAGGACCGCTGGCCTTCGCCAACGCCTGTGGGCGGCCGAGGACCGCGAGCTGCGCAGCCTGGGCCCCAGCGTGCAGACCCCTGAGAGTGCCCCGCAGAGCTGAGCCCCGCAGCCTGTGCGCGGCTGCCGACCTGGAGAATCTGCCGCGGGTCGGCGGCTGCCGGACGGATAGTGCCCTGGTCATCAGCATTGTCGCTCTTAACGAGCCCTTGCCTCTGCCACCTGCCCGCTTTCCTGCTGTCAGAACCACCAGGACTCTGGACTGAAGTCCTTGGGACTAGGATTCGTGTCCTGACTGCCCCATATAATCTTGGGCAAGTGACTTAACGTCATTCGGTCTTTGGCTTCTTCATTGCAGAAAAGGACCCGATTCTGCCCTGAAAGCATTGTTGTGAGCTATCAAAATGTTTGTTGACGCTGAAGAGGGAAAAAGGAAACGAAGATTCTGATATTGTGTCCGATTTTGACTTTCAGATCCTCTTCTGTCCCTCAGTCACGGGCAGGATCCCGACCTTCGTCTGAGCACACACCTTCAGCACACAGCCTTAGGGGGAAGCTATTCCTTCTTTCTGTGTTTCGTTTTCATTTCTTTCAATAATCAGCTTTTCAATCTGCCTCTGTTTTACCTCGCACCCCTTACGTTTCTAGCTGTCTCCCTTCACAGGGGAAATTCATCAGGAAGTGCCCCATGGGCCCATAGACACACCCTTAAGAAACCTGTCTCCCAGCCTAGTCCCTTGGAAAGGATTCACTTGCCTCTCCACTACAGTGTTTCCCAGGGCCATGGCTGTCGGACAACACCACACAGAAGGATAAAATAACTAGCATGGCAACTTTCTATCAACAAAATAGCTAATCGACACCTCACTTAAGCAAGGCATGGAAAGGAATACAGTGAAATATGACAAGGTCTCTCTTCCCAGTGGACTTGCCATCTGCTTGGGAGAACAAGACTCATTCATACAAAAGAAAACTGACGAGGGCGTAGAGTGAGGCTGCTTTGGGAAATGGGGTCATGGTCTCTGCAGAGCAAGCGCCCTTGGTGATCACAGGACACATGGCCTCCTGCACACCTTCCCTGGCTCTCTTTTCCCCTTGAGCACCCTCGCCCCAGAGAAATGAATATCGAACAAAGTTTCAGCTCAGGCAAAACCCTAAACCTCTTTGACTTTCAGATTCAGAATCTTCATTTGTAAAACTGGGGTAACTTCATATTGTGAGGACCAAATGAATTTAGGAATGTGTACAGACATAGCAAAGCACTGGGTACTTAGCCATGTGGATTCTTAGTTCATTTTATTCTTATCTTATGTTTTTACTACTTAAAAAGATGTCATTTATTTATTTTTAGAGAAAGGAGAAGGGAGGCAGAAAGAGCTGGAGAGAAACTCAATGTGTGGTTGCCCCTTAGGAACCCCCAACTGGGGCCCCGGCCCACAACCCAGGCATGTGCCCTGACTGGGAATAGAACCAGCTCCCCTTTGGTTCACAGGCGGACAGACACTCAGTCCACTGAGCCACACCAGCCAGGGCTTATTCATTTATTTTAGTGTGTGTAGCACATCATGCTGCATTTATTTGTATGCATTTCCAGCTAACTACATAGCAAACTTGTTGAAGGTAAGGATTCTGTCTTACTCATTTTTGTGGCCCTAGTATCTACCATGGTGCTTAGCACTTGGTAGGCAATTGCAGAGTGTGTGTCAGATTAATTATTTTACATCAGAGATGGAACTAACCTTAGGGTAGAAGTCTAAGAAACCAGAAGTTAAAAATTGGCAGCCTGGAGGCCAAATTCCCTCTAAGAAACGTTTTGTTTGGCCCTCACAGTGTTAACCCCTGTAACAATCAGAATATGAACAACAAATCAGGAATTATCTTTGCTTTGGAGCATTTCCAAGACCACCCCTATGTTAGGAGATTAGCTAGAAGGACTCAGAGGACTCAGCATAAAATCGTACCCACAGCTAAGGTTTACTGCAGCAATGTAGGAAGGATATGCAGCTGGATTTTAAGGGGGAAAGACAAAGGGGAGTCTAGAGGCATCTACACCCTCTGCTTCCCAAAAGTGCTCACAAAGGGGATTCTTCCTGCAGAATGTAAACATAGCAACCCTTCCCTGCTGTGTTTCTGCTGGAGGAAGCCCATTAGAGACTCCGAAATCAAGGCTTTTGTTTTTTGTTGAGTGCTGGCCACATAGACACCTCTGCCTAGCACACACTAAAATGCCAGACTCCCGGAAGAACAGCAGGCGTTTAGCACAAACTATATTGTTAACATGAACAATCTAGGCACCACGAACCGTCATTGTCAGCTAACTGCTGACCAGGAACATCGCAAGAGCCAAGTTCCCAAGCACCAGCCAAGGGCCTACCTTGTAAGCAGGCCTTTCTAGGGATAGCAATCTCAGGCCTGCTGTGTTGACTCTTAGCAGCAGTCATAGAAAAATGCAGATTTCTAGCTTTTAAGGAAAAGAACTGGAATGCCTGGCCACACTGGTCTGCATTACCATTTAGCCACAGTGGTAGGCAGGATAATAGTCCTCTAAGGATACCCACATCTGGATCCCCAGAATCTGTGGCTATTTACTTTACATGGCAAAGGCTTTGCAGATGTGATTAAGGTGAAGATCTTGAGCCCTGACTGGTGTGGCTCAGTGGCCCGAGCACCAGCCTTCGAACTGAAGGAACCATTGCTGGTTCCATTCCTGGTCAAGGCATTTGCCTGCGTTGTGGGCCAGGTCCCTGGTTGGAGACATGGGAGAGGCGACCATTTGATGTATCTCTTGCACATTGATGTTTCTCTCCCTCTCTTTCTCCCTCCCTCCCCTCTCTAAAGATAAATTTTAAAATCTTTTTTTAAAAAAACATCTGGAGTTGTGGAGATAATTCTGGATTCTCTGGGTGGCCTCAATGCAATCACAAGGATTCTTACAAGTGGAAGAGGAAGGCAGGAAGATCAGAGTCAGGGAAGGAGAGGTCAGAGCAAAGGTCAGAGTGATGTGATGTTGGCTTTTAAGGTGGAAGGCAGCCATGAGTCAAGGAATGTGGGCAGCTTCTAAGATGAACAAGGCGAGGAACAAATTCTCCTCTGCAATCTAGGAAGAGGCAGCCTTGCCAACACCTTGAGTTTAGTCCCGTAGGACCTTTGGACATCTGGTCTCTGAAACTGTAAGATAATAAGTTTGTGTTGCTTTAAGCTGCTAAGTTTGTAGCAATTCGTTACAGCAGCATCAGGAAACTATCATGACAACAAATGGATCTGGGTGGTGGCTGCCTTATGATAAGCAACAAGCTGCACCAGTTCACTCAGTCCACACCATTCCATGTCTCCCTGACACAGAAGACAAGTGCCTGTTACCATTTAACATCACATGCTCAGCCTGCATTGCACTTTTATGTTACCCTGGACCAAGTAACAAGGAGTTTACAATCCCTGAGGAGGCTTTCTGGCAGGGAAAATGGAGAGGACAAGGGTGGAGGGATAAACACCCAAAGCACGTACATGAAATGCAGATTCTGCTTCCGATTTTGTGTGTGCACACACATGACTGAGTGTGTATGTCCTCAGGATGTATACAGATGCCTCTGAATTAGGGCCATAAGCACTGGGTGGGTGTGCAGGTAACATGGACCAGACTGAGAACTTTCAGACATTCCCATACATGAATCTAGAAGATAATTCCAGGCCCTTCTTCCCTCTTCCCATTGAATCATCTACCTTACATGGGTGCCCAGCAAGCCACACTCTCTTTGGATCTCTGTCCCTCTTCCCCTTGCCCTTTGCCATCTCCATCTTCTCTAACCCCTTCCCAGAACCTCACATGTGCATCTCAGAACAGTGCAACCAGGTCCCCCAAATTTCTAGTACTCCACCGACTCCGTCCGGGAGGGGAGGGGCTGATCCCTCGTGCACACCCTTCTGCGTTGTTCAGACTGGAGCATCTGCCAGCTGTCCCCCTCCCCACGGCTCAGCCTTTCTGAAGGGATATTGTTTACTCTCCTCCCCACTCCCTGTGCAAGCGTGGTTCCCATGCTCCACTGAGATGGCTCTTGCTAACTTCTCTGGTGACCTCCGTCTTGCCAAAGCCATAGGCCACATCTCTATCTTTACATTTCTCTGCCTCTCAGCTGTGTTTGACACAGCTGATCCTTCCTTCCTCCTTGAAGCACCTCCTTCTTGGCTTTAATGACAACACCCTCTCCTGGTTTTTGTCATGGCTACTCCTTCTTGGTGGTCTTTGAGGGCTCATTTCTAAAGGGACTTCCCAGTACTCAGTTCCAAGCTCTCTCTTTCCTTTGCTTTTGTCCCTGAAAAAGCCACTGTTGAAAGTGGGTGATGAGTACATGGGGTTTTATGATATTATCTCTAATTTAAGTATATTTTAACATGTCCTTAATAAACATTTATAACATTTCTAGGTATCCAAAAAGAAAATACCTAGAGTATTTACATTCCCAAACCATAGTGAAAGAATGGAATAAAAAGAAAGAAATATCACCTATATGCTGATGACTTTCACATTCACGTCTCCATCTTGGACCTC